TTTTTTGGTTTTCTATTTTTTTTTTTTTTCTAGTTCGACAGATATATCGTGTTATTCTCTTTTTTTCTCAGAGTGATATTTCCTTTTTTTTATTTTTTGTTTCTTTTTGAGACATCACGGGTTTGTTTTTATTCTTACTATTTGTGTCGATTATTTATTTATATTTATACTTTCATGTTTCCTTTATTATTATCATTATTATTTCTTTCTTTCTTTATTCTTCATTTGTGGTTGCTCAGTGGACGGGGGTAAAAAAAAAAAAAACAGATCCCAAGAGAGAGGTTCATACGTACACGCATACACAAACACATATATATAGTGACATTTTATTTATATACAAATATATATAGAGAGAAGGAATAAACGAAGAAAAAGAAAGAAAAGATATAGAAAGAGATGTCAAACTTTTCCCGTGAGGCGACAAAGTTACTTCATGTAGCGGAGGATGCTCTCTCTGGCAGAAGAAATGCCGCATCGCTGCAGCAGGCAATAGCAGCCGAAGCTCCATGGGAGTCTTTTCGGCCAGCTGCAGAGCGGTATAAGAATAATGATATAGAGTATGGATTACCGGGTAATCACCATGTAGTGGTGGAACTTCAACGGCAACTTCATGTAGCCATGTCGGAGATTAATAATCTCCGTTGCGAATTAATGGCTGAGCGGGAGTCCCGCTCACAAACACTCACTTCATTAGGCCGTCGATGGAAGGAAGAAGTTATGGTGGAGTTGCGTGCAGCTGATCACCAATCGCGTCGTGCTATCTCCGAGATGGAGGCAAACATGCTGCAGCGGCTTAAGGAAGAAGCAACAACACGTACAGTCATGCAGCGACAGTTAGAAGAGGTTCTTCGCAGTAGTAAAGTGCGAGATCGGTCGCAGTTTGATCACCAGGAGCATATTCAGGAACAGTTAGATGGACTCCGTGAACGACTTGAAGCGGCTGTTGCGGAGTGTGGTATTGTACGTGTGGAGTCCGCACAGCAACTAGAAAAAGAGCGGGCGTCACTTTCACAACGTCTGGATGCAGAACTTTTGCGGTATGTGGACATGCGGCGGGATGACCAGCGAGAACGTGAGGCACTACGACAACAACTAAAGACAGATATCGTTAATTTTGGCTCACAGGTTCGGGAACTTGTGGATGAGGCATGGCGCACACATGGATCTACATTAGAGCGCACCCTGCGTGAACCGTTGGATGCCTTTAGTCGTCAAATGGGGCGACATGAGGAGATTGTAAGTGCGATGGATGCGAAGATACACGACTGCACGGCCACCTGTCGTGCGGAGCTGCGGCTGCAGACGGCATCACTGCAGGAACGCGTGGCCGCCGTAGAGGCGACTGCGGCGGTGACGGCATCTCGCGTGGATCGCGCGGAGCGGAAGGCCGACGCCGCACACGACACGGCGGGCCGCACGAACGCAAATGTTGACGTCGCGCGGGATGTTGCGGAGCGGGCGGCCGCACAGGCGCAGCGGGCGACGGAACGGGCACAGCGCATGGAGGACACCGTGCAGGACCGATATGCCCGACTGCAGCAGTTGGAGGGTCAGTTGGCATCCATCGCAACAGCAGAGAAATTACGTTCGGAAATTGAAGCGGTGCGACGGGCGGCTCTGCGTGCAGAGAGTGGCGTGGATGCGCTGCGGCAGGTGTGTGAACGGGATGAGCAGCTGGTGGAGCAAACCCGCCGTGCGGTGGATGGATACTCCGATCGCATCAGCGGATGTGAACAACTCACTCACCGACTGCGGGCTGCTGTAGAGACGGTGGAGGGACGCATGCCGCCGTTGTTGCAACGACTCACAGCACTCGAAGAGGCGCGTGAAGGGGCCGCGGTGGGCACGGCGCATGTGGACGACACTTTGTTACTATTGCAGCAACGCGTGCAGGTATTGGAGGGTGGTGTGCGCAGTGTAGGGGAGCGACTCGAACAGTGGCGGCGGGATGTGAACAACAACGCACAGACACTCGCTGCGCGGGTGGAGTCTGTGAGTGAGTTGACACTCCGCAGCGAGACAAACAGCGCCGCGGCGAGAGCCGATGTGGACCGCATGGACCGCCGTGTGACTCAACTCGAGTCGCAGACGAGTCAAATGGCCGCCGACTGTCATTCACTGCGCGGTGCGGTGGATGATCACGCAAAGGACACCGCCACGCTGTCGAGTCGATTACAACAAGTGGGAGACTGGCAGGAGCAGCGAGAGGCGCGGTTTGAGACATTACTCTCTGAGACAGGAATGCAGAATGTAACGGCAGTGGAACAGAGTGTTAATAGACTGGACGCTAAACTGCAGCGGGATGTACGTCGACTAGAGACGAATTTGAGAGAACGCACGGCCGCATTGGAATCCCTAGTGGAGGAAAAGATATCAACACTGCAGGAACGTCTCGGAAGGAGTCAGACACCACAGAGTGAAACCATGCTGCAAGCATTAGCGCGGGATATGGAGATTTACCAGTCAAAGGTAGAATCTCTAAATAAGTCTTTGACGATGATGGATGATAGTATGGAGCAGACACGGCGGGAGTATGTACTAATGCATGATTGGAATATGTTACGCAAGACGGTATCAGCACTAGAGTCTAAACTTCGTTCTGTACAGGAGGATACAGCATTACAGCAACAAACGGATGATGAAGTTCAAATAAAACTACGAGATGTAGAAGGTGAACAGCGACGTCAACGTCATTTATTACAACAACTTCAAGAGAATTTGATGATGGTTCGCACAGAGGTACGGGATTTTGCTTCTCCTATTCTCACAAAACAATTCTCTCGTATAAAAGCAGAAGAGGAATTCATACCAACTAGGGTAAAAGTAGTAACTGAAAAAGAGGCACTAGCACCAACAACAACAAGAACAACAACAACAACACCAGTACCAGCAGTACAAGCAACATCAGTATCGGATACTGGAACTACAGTAGAAAGATTCTCTGGAGGAAGTGTAATGGCACACTCTGTTGAATATCACGAGGTACGTTCATCGAATACAGCTGCCATAGAAACACAAGGTAGTGAAGCGGGTACGACAAAAACCACCACCACAACATCAAAAACAACATCAAACACCCATCCACGGACGTCTAGCACTGAAGTAATGCTCTTGGGTGATCGTAATGAATCTCCTGACGCCCATGTAATTCCTCAGTCACTAGAAGATTCAAGAGGAGTAGAAGAACAACCGGAATCAAGCACCACTACACCAATTACTAGACGAACGATGGGATCCCATCGTGTGGACTCTCTCTCACAAGATGAAGTAAGTGGTAGACGTTTAGTGTCAGCGTGGGGAGGAATGAGGAGTAGTGATTCTATTGTTACACCAAATGCCAGAGAACCTGAAAGAACAGCAGAAGATACGACAACTAGTAGTAAAAAAAATAGTTCTCCGGATGATGAAACCCATGGTGAAAATGTCAAAGCAAATGAGGATCGTGCTTTAGTAGGACTCCATGCTTCTCTTATGAACCCACCACAAGAATCTTCTAGTAGTACCGCCTCTGCAGAAAAATTACCAACGCGTAGGGGTATACCAACTATGTGGCGACAAACTGGTAGTAGTTATGATACCGCAAGTGAAGAAACCATCACTGCAGTAACACCACTTGCGGTACAGAAGAAAAGTACCACCAGTGAGTCTCCTGCTACACCAGTTAAAGATACAGAAGTGAGCAAAGTACCTGAAGAAGAAACACAACCAGCGAAAAAGACCACTGCATGGTATGATGACTGGGATGACACTAGTGAAAGTGAAGAGGGGAACGTACCCTCTGAACAAGATAAAACCAAGCAGGAGGAAGAAAAAAGAAAAGAAGGGGAAGTAGAAGTTAGAGATGCCAATGTAATGCGAACCCCTGGTGGGGGAAGTGATATATACGCTACACCCCGCAAAATGTTTGTAACGGCAGCAAGTACTTTCCAAGAGGAAGAAGTGGAAATACCACGTCATGGTACTGGAACGTCTACAGGTTCGTCATCTGGTGAATCAGAGATGCGGAAGACACAACAAGCTCCAATGAAACGTTTCACAAGTTTTGATGATTCTACCTCAGAAGAAGAAAACTGAGAAATAAATATATTGATGCTTCATATAGATTGAAGTGTATATAATTGCATATATATATATATATATATATATATATATAGAGAGAGAGAGAGGGAGAGGGAGGGAGAAAAGGGTATAGAGGGCAAAAAAAAAAAAAGAAAGCAAGCATTCACTTGTATTTATCTGACTCTCTGCTTATGCGTCTATGAAATGTCAAATGAGTGAAAAACTATGATGGGGGTTTGTTCCATGGTATTTGCAATGGTAATTTTGTGTACCAATTTCTGCATTTCTCCTTTCTCTTCCTTTGAATCTGCTTTAAAAAATAAAAGTGTTTTTGTGTTTTTAATCTCTCCTTTTTTTTGTTGAATGTTTTTTTTTTTTCTTTTTTCTTTTTTTTTTTTTTGCTTTCTTCTTGTGATTGGACGTAGTGAGAGAAGGGATAGTGAATACGTACGGAATAGTGGGTTAGGGTACCATGTACTTTTCTGGTGTTATTGGCGCCTTCTTGTTTTTATATGCCCCGCTAGTGATTTGTGGAGCGGTTTCTGCTGTGTTCCGACCACAATTATTAGTGGTGGCTCTCTTTGGGGCTGGTGCTTCTCTTCTCTCCTTTCTCATCACTGGACTCTTCTACACTATTATACACCTTCTATTCCCATCGGCTAACACCTCTCTCTTTGTAGCGATAGTGGTGATATTGGTGCATGTAGCCGCTGCAGGGGCATTACGTGTGGGTCTCTTCACTTTACTGTTGTGGGTGGAGAAATATGCACGTGTGTTTGGGCAACTCCTCGCGGTGAGTTCTGTGCGATTTGCATTCGTAGCGGCCGCAGCGGGATGTGGCTTCGGTGGATTATCGGCATTGCGGGGCGCAGGCACTATGATTGATGCGACTCGACGGCTTACATTCTACACAGCGGGAACCACCGCGTATGATATGAATATTTGTCCACAGTTACCACTTCTTGTGCACAGTACACTACAGGGATTTTTCTTACTACTTGCACAGATTGCATGGGGTGTGATGACAGGACAGGCAATCGCCGCATTACAGGAATACTCCGTGAAGGAAGCATGGCATTTGTGTACTCGTTCTTGTTGTTTTTGGCGTCCACAAACATATGTAGAAGACGTTGTAATGGAATCCTCTGATGATCTTCTCTACAGACCACTACGTCCTGCTTCTCCAGATGTTGGGGAAATGATGACTTCTGCAAAGCAAACGGAAGTCACGGATGTGGAGCACATGAAGTCAGTGCTGCATACAATTACGAGTAAAGATTCTCCTAAAAAAGAGAAAGAAGAGAAGTCGGGTGAGGCAAAGAGTAAAACAAATCATTCTTTAGAGGAAAGAGAAGAAAGGGAAACGACGGAAGGAAGGGAATTTACACAATCTAATGTAGAAGAAACAGTAGAAACAACAAAAGGAACAGAAGAAGAAACAGAGAAGGAAAAACCAGTTACTAGGACAAACTCTGTTAAGAAGGAAGAAAAATCATCATTAAATCATACTTTACCGAAGATGACACTACTGCAAGAAACACCATCAATAGCCTTAATATCTCTTATTGCTTCTATTTTCCTGCATCTACTCTTCGCGCTTGCCTCTTTGATGAATAGGGGTGCTTACAATGATGAGACGCATGAGGAAGTGCCATTGCGTGGTTGTGCAGTTTCCCTCCCTTTTCAAGCTTTCATTACGATGTTGTCCCTTATTTGGATGAGTTTGCTGCTCTATAATGAGAGACGTGAAGAGAAACCGTGAGAAGTCATTTTTTTTTTTTCTTTTTTACATTGCTTTGTCTTTGTGAGAGTAAGAGAGGAGGTTTTTGAAGAATAGGGAGAATTGGTTGGACCGCAGAAGAAGATGATGACTGTTTTTGGAATTCACCTACTTTTGTTTTATTGCTTTCCCGTTTTTTTTTTTTTTTTTTTTTTTTTTTTTTTTTTTCCTTCTTTCTTTCTGTATTCTTCTGTTTTCTCTTCTTTTCCTTTCCTTCTATGTATTCTTCTTTTCTATTTCTTTCTTTGGTTTTCTTTGACACCTAAACGTTGCAGCCATATTTAAAAAAACAAAAAAGGTAGAGCAGAGGAATTGTAGAGAAACTGGTGACATATCCAGCACCAGTTATCCTTTTTTCTTTTCTTTTTTTTCTTTCTTTCTTTTCTTTTCATTCTTAGTTATTTTTCGTTTCTTCTTTCTTCTTCTTCTTCTTCTGCATTTCCTCAGTTCCCTTGATTGACCATGCCAGTTGCCATAGTGACTGTGGATGTCCCCACAGCCGCATATACACAAGTGAGTGAACAACAACAACAACAACAACAGCAGCAGAGGCGAAATGCCCCACAAGCGGCGGTATCGTCCAATATGCCCAAAACAAATAATAATAATAATAATAATAATAATAATAATAATCATCATCATCATCAACAGACATTCGGGCGTACACTCACACCGGCGGAAACGGCAACGCGGTCGGACGAGGAAGCACCCATAAAATTCACACGTGCAAACAGCTGGAGTGAATCCTCCGCAATAAATGATGCGGCAAAAACTTCGACACCTACAGTAACAGTAACAACAACAACAACAACAACAACGAACATCAATAAAATACGCAGTCAAATTGCTGTGGAGCAGAAGACCCATTCTTTTTCCAACCCCATGTTAAAAGAACAAGGTGTGAAGCCCAAGCAGCGCGACGGTAATGAAGCTCCTCCTCGGACTAACAAAACAACAACGACAACAGATGCAAACCCCGGCAATTCTACATTCAACAATAAGAACGAGAATAGTGGTTGTAGTAATGTGTGTGTGCAGATGTTACTGACAAGCCGTGCGGATCTGCTTGACTGCGCTGATCGACAACTCCCTACATTGCCGTGTTTACATAATCCACTCACACGACTCCAACACGGTAGTGGAAATGATGTACGATGGCGAGTGCGAATGCTGCGACTTTCACGAAACAACCTCACATCACTGGAGGTTCCCGCAGTCACAACACTCCCCGCAGCGCAGCCACTTGCACTTGCCGCCTTTTCACGAGTAGTGATGCTTGACGTTACGCGAAATAAAATCACTTCACTTGCCGGTGTGGAAGCAATGGCATCATTGCGGGTCTTACTTGCCTCACACAATCAACTCGAAGATCTCGCCCCACTCTTTAGTGTCTCCTCTCTTCTACAGCAGAATGGTACGTTGGAGGTACTGGACGTCAGTTTCAATCACATTCGTGATATTCTCCCTACTACTACTACTACTACTACTACTACTACTACTACTACTACCACACCGAATAGTACTACGAATAGTGTCCTAACTAGATCTCTTGATAGAAACACTGAGGATGATTCCACAGAAGCTAGTAATAGTTTAGAATCATCACCAGTGGCAGCAGCAGCAGCAGCAGCACCAGCAGTAATGCCACTACGCCGACTGCGCACATTAAATCTCTCCTTTAATCACCTTCAACAATTGGACAGTGTTAACATGCTCTTTCCCGATCTAGAGGAACTCCGCGTGGTAAGGAATCAACTCACGACACTGCCCTCATCATTCCCTCGACGTCTATCTATTCTTATACTTCAGCAGAACTACCTGACTGAGGATGCCCGTCGCTGTGCGATGGAACTTCCGCAGCGGATGCGGACCATTAAAGAAGTAGACGTTAGTAAACAGCGAACTAAACCGAAGAGTCCACCCATATTTAGTGGTTTTTTCGGTGGTGAGAAACCTGAGAAGATTGATATTACTATTGATAGTAATCAGAATCATAATAATAATAGTGGTACTAGTAGTAATAGTGATAGTAGGAGAAACAGTAGTAGTAGTAGTACTAGTAATAGTAAAAATGATGATGATAAGGATGAGAAGAATGAAGAGTCAGAAGAAAAATTAGAAGAGATAGAAGCCGAAGAAGGACAAACTGGTGATGATGAGAATGAGGATAGTGGTAATCATATGATAGATACCCAAACTACTTTTGGGACGCTGAATAGTGTGAAGATAGTTAAGCAACAGAAACAAAATGATCAGAAGGAGCAGTTGCAACAAGAGGAAGAAAAACAACCACTAGTTTTCTCTCCTCTTATGCAAAACCATTTGCAGGATCTAGTCTCCACTTCATCTATAGTATCAACAATAACTGCAGGGGGAAATTCTTTTTGGACCACCTGCGGTAATTCCTTGGAATGCCTCCCTCCACACGTATTGGGAATCCTTGCACGTCTTGTTGCCTCCGCATCTCTGCGACCTTCTAAGAGAATGTTGGATTCGTACGTTCTCTCCTTTGCAGACTCTTCAGATGCCTTTGGAGTACTTGCACATATGCAGAAATTTCTCCGTAATGACTTTCATCCACCTCGCGTGGGTCTCACCGCGGCGGATGTCAATCAAGCGGACGCAGTTGCGCAGCGAAGAAGTCTCGTGGCCGCGTGTATAGCCAGAAGTGGTGGAGTGATGCCGTTAAATCGATTGTTGTTGAAATCCGGAGATGGTCCATGGTTGTTGGATATGTTAACGCAGATGGAGCAGCAACAACAGCTCGCTTGGGATTCTTCTCTACACACTGATCAAAAGAAAGAAGAAGAAGAAGATGATGAAAAAAAAGAAAAAGAAAAGGAAGCATTTCACTCTGAGTTCACATTAAAGTTCCCCGCACCGCGTGGGAAGTTACGCCGGCATGGCGGTGTGTATGGACGCAATTGGTTAATTAATGAACTCAAGGCGCCGCTGCGGTGGAGCAACACCCAACAGTGGCACAGTGTGCATGGCTGCTGCGCCCTTCAACACACCAGACAAGAGAGAATTGACAGACGTAGAAAAGCACCAGTCGTTGAAAGTGAAGTGGGGGAGTCAATGGAGAGTCCCGCTTCGGAAACACTTCAATCTTGTTAACTACAGAGAAATTGGTGTATCTGTCTTTTTTCGTGTGTGTACGGGGAAATTCTTTCTTTTTTTTTTTTCTTTATTCTTCGTTAGTCTTTCACGTATATATATATATATATACATTTGTATATAATAGAATTACATGGAAAAGAAGCAAAAGTGTATGTGCGACTTAAAATTTTTTTTTTTACTATTATTTACTTTCCTGCTTTGATAATTTCTTTTTTTCTCTTTTTTTTTTTATTAATCTATTCTGGGCGTTTGTACTGCGTGTTTTTCTTCTTTCCTTCCATATAAACGTCTTTTTCCTCTTACTGCGTGCTTGCCTTATTTTGTTCTTTTTTTTTCGATATATATATATATATATATATATAAACCCCTCTTGCTGTATTATCTAACAGAGTAAATGAAAAAATAAAAATAAAAAATATGGTAGCATTTTTCTCGATTGAGGAACGAGGAAAGGACTGATTAAATAATAGAAGCCGGAATGTACAAAAAAAGAAAAAAAAGAAGAGGAAGGAACAGTATTGAAGAGAATCGGTTAAGGAGGGAGTTTTTCTGTGGGCGTTCTGAAAAATTCTTTTGGTTGTTTCTCACGCTTTTTTTTTTTTTTTTTATCTCTCCTTCTTTCCTTCTTTT